GGTGAATGATAGTAGAGCTTCACAATCATTCGATTGTCCGGGTATCACAACATATTCTCTACTGTGGATTTTAGATTGACAAGACAAATGATCTCTATGAACCTAAATTTAAGAGGGGGTCTCTCGTCGTTGAAGTAGACAAATGCAATATACGAATATTGAGACATTATGTGGTGTTTTAGTTAACAACATGAGGAGTACCTATATTTATACAAGTTTTATATCAATATGGACCTTAGAAATCAAATCATGTCTCAAGGGATATTCTGAAATTCGGATTCACTCCTCACAAACAGAACCTATTTATTGACATAGAAAATACAAACAAAACTTTTTATTGATATAGAAAATTTAGGGTCTAATATTTATAGAAGTAATGTTAGAGATATATATTAAAACACATAAAATGTATGGATTACATCGGTTGAAAATAACAATTCAACATTACATACAAAAAAACGAGTCACGGCCTAAATACATTATAAGATAGAAACTAAAATGCATCAACAAATGTGTCACCACCTAAATCTATATTTATGGGTGATTCTGCCTTTAACTTTTGTTGATTTGATTCTCTTTCAATCTCGTTCAACTTTGTGAAATGAGTTGTCCGCCCTGACGATGTATGTGGTATAGGAAATCTCAGTTTCAAATAAATTTGAACAAAGTTTTATAATTTTGAAAGACACCTAATACACATAATTTGTGTGCTTGGATTTTGAAGTGGGATCGATACACACTTTGAAGTAGAAAAATGTTTTCGAGAAACTATATCTTGTCGGATCGATACACACTTTGTTATATGTACTTGAAATAAGATTACTCATTTCAAGGAAACACGTCAATTTTTGTCTCTGGTGCTGGACCGCTGACACGAGGAATAAGAGATTCATAAATTTCATCAAAAAGTTCATTTTTTCCCCGTATAACTTCGTGTATGGTTCCTTATGTGCCTTCAACTTTTTTATAAGATGTTGGCAGAGAAATGTATGATTATCCTCTTCTTTACCGAGCGATAACATCAATTACTGTCACCATTAACATCCATAATTCATACAATGTATTTGGGCATGAAAATCGACATTTCTTCAATGTGTATGATTTTTGGTAAAGGTGATGAAGGAGATGGTTTGCTAATGCGTGCACCATATAACTTCGTGTATGAACCCTTAGCACATTCAAATTTGTGGTTTCTTGATAGACAATTTTTTCAACTGCTCTTTGGTATGTAGTTTCATGATATCATCAACTTTAAAAAACCTCTCTTGAATCACTTTTCACTTAGTCATGATAGATATATTTAATTTACCATACTCCATCACACTATCATCATTAAAGCAAGGCCTTTTCTAGTGCGTGTAAACCTCATCCATACATATGGGTCTATCAAGTTTCATCTTCTTTGAAATTACACAAACATACTGAAGATCATACGTCTTCCTAAGTGTACAACCATACTTTGAGCTATCTAAACTTGTTTTCTCTACACGCTTGGCTTCATGATAAATACAATTCAATCCCACTTAAGATATATTGCCCAACAATTGTGAATAAAGATTGTTGTCTCTAAATTTATGTTTTAATATTGTATTGTTGCGACCAAATGATGTTTGTATCTTGCTATGTTGATTTTGAATCATTTAGTTCACAGAGTCTCAATCTCTATATAAATCACTTTTACTATTTCTCAACCAATTCTTCAATGTAGCATGAGCATATTCAACTCTATTAGTTGTTGTATTTCCAAATTGTTTAATCTGATTGGTCTAAACATAAAAAAAATTCTCCTTCACCTGGTTTAGAATTTTATTTTTAACATATTTCAAGAAATTCAAATATTTCTCACTCACCCTCCCGAAATATATGACAGATTTAACATTTAAATCTTCTGTAGAGGAATTTATTATAACATTCCAGGAATTCATTATGCTTTCAAATATCACATCAACTTTGACCATTTTCTCATTTTCACCCTTGATTTGTTTGGTCCATACCGCAAGCTTAAATCTACTTCTCACATTTTTTGTTATGTGATACCTACAACGTAATGCATTTGACGTAGGAAAAACCTTTGCAACTGAATTCATAAGTGTGGTATCGCGATCAGTGACAATGACTTGTGACATGTTTTCTTGATCTTTCAACATAGTCTGACACATTTCCAAAGCCTGAGTAACATCATCCTCTTTTTCACTTTCCAAAAATGCAAACTTAACTGAAAAATTCATATCTGTAGAAGTAACACCAACAATTTCCATAAGTGGAAGTTTGTACTTGTTGTTCAAACATAGTGGAAAATATGTTGAACAACTTAATGAAATCAGGATGAGTCCAAAATATATTTCAAACGATTTCTCCATCTTCACGCACTTTGTACCTAGATACATAATGATAATCCACCAAAAGCTTCAACAATTGTTACATTTCAGATCCTGACCCTCTTATCGCATTGTTGTTTTTGGCATCAACATTGTATACTTGCTTAATATTTGATATATTTTGGTGCATTTTCTGTTTTAAAATTGCAAGTATGTTTTTAGGTCGCACATGTTGAATGTCATGTCAAAAATAATATCCTTCTTTTTTTGAATTAAGGCGACATACAATAGGATGACCATCTAACTTGTAACATAAGGCATGATCATGTATGCCATAAACCATATTAAATTTCCATCTATCATTCTCCTTACGGTACCCCTACAACTTAAAATGACATTCAAATTTCCTCGTACCGGTGTCATCCCATTTCAACTTCTTTTGTATGTCATCATCACATATGTCGGTATTCTATCAAAACTAGAATCCGACCTCCCAATTACAATGTCGAGCCCCAATTTGAAAGCCTCTATGTGGATCCATTTAAGCATATAGCCAATGATAGAAAACTCATATTTAGTTGTAAATTATTTTCCAACATCTACATGGACAACATTCGGTACCTGGCCATCACTCGATTTAACATCCATAAATACAAGAACTTTGGGGACAGCGCCTGAGTGCACTATTGTTACAACCAGTCATAACATAATTAAATTAAAATTCAACATGAAACTAGTACAAATTTTAATCTGTGGAATAACATGCAATAATTTGAATTTTAAAATTCGAACATAAAGTTTATTTTTCAGCAGAAAAACCATATTCTTATAAGCAATGAGGAAGAAAATACATATACTTTACCTTAAATTTGAACTTACTTTCCTCCTTTTGATGTAAAAAACAAAATAATGTGGTTTTGAAGTACAAAACTTGATTGAGAATGGAAGAAGTTTTTTGTAGGTTTTTGCAGGTATGATGGTATGATCATGAAATGAAGAGTACATGCAAAGTGATATTATATTCAATTTTCTGTTTGGTGTTTCCGGATATTAATATTCAGATCGTATCTAAAGATTGAATTATGTATTATTTTTAGGCAAATAGAGGTAGCTCACTGATGACAATGATATAGTGTGTAATAGGTGTGTATGGGTTTCAAAATTCGTACAAGTGAAACATGTTTTGAGCTTTCATATGGGCGGATGTCCACCACTAAGGCTAGGAAGAACAATCCCTCAATTAAACTGCAAAAAATTGAGAGTTTCTTTTCTCCTAGAGCCGATTTCTAAAAAACAATATGTTCAAAAAAATTATTATGTTTTTGTTTTTTTACTAGTTTAGTCACATAAATAGCATGTTTAGTCTTTCCATGATGTTAATATGCTCTTAATTTAATTTTAAAAAACATTAAAAAATATATTTAAAATACATTTTTTATAAATAACTATCACTTCATAATATTAATATAATATTTTCATTAATATGCATTTATTTATAAACATTCACTTCATTCAACTACACACTACATTATGTTAAAATTTGGTACAAACTGATTGATTAGACTCAAAATCAAAAGATTGAGTGGTCCGATAAGATACTAAGGTTATAGAATCGTAGTTACAATTGGATCGATAAAAACCATGAATCGTAGTTACAATTGGATCGATAAAAACCATGTGATTCATCCGTCATACCAGTGAATCATAAGTTTTTTGAACTTGTAGACTCATCTTTTTATGTATTTAACGCATTAGTGAAGAGTAAAAAAAACTAAAAATTAAAGGGAATAAAAAAATGTTTCCCCTCCCTCATGTTTAAAAAATCTTTTGAAATCTTTTGAAATACTAATGAAGCCTTTGTTTCATAGACTCAAATTTTATTCACAAGAATTACTTACTCGAAAACATAAAGATGGAAGATTTATTCTAAAGTTTTTTTTTTAATTGCTTGACCAAAATTGTAGTTTTTTTTTTAGAATCTTCATATTTAGGAAGAATTATTTTCAATCTTGTAACACGATGTGATACTTATACATACTCGTCTCCTATTCATGTACTCACATGAATGTGATTTCTAAACTAATACTCAGCTCATATTCATCTTCTATTGTTTCTTTTCTTTTTTTAAGTGGAATCTTATGGTAGAAAATGTATCTTTAGTGTTATAGTCTTGTTTTCCTCTTTTATTCCGTTCAACTTCATCTTCTTTGATCTTCTTCATCAAAGCATTACGTCTAAGTATATTTAATTTTTTTCTATTGAGCATGAGATAAATCTTGCAAAAATAGATCTATAAATTTATAGTTTAAGTTTTTTTCATAATTTTTTTATAGAAATTCTATAGATTTTATAGTTATGAAATTTTCTCAAAAATTTTATTTTATAGAATTCCGGTAATAAAAGATGAGCCTATCACATCCAAAATGTCAACTAACTTATCCGATAAATAGTTTTATCAATAATAGTCAAACAATTCAATTTGAGTTTCGCTGTGTTAAAAATCCACAACTTCATCTAAAACTTCAGGAACTTTACAAATTTAATGACACCATGCAACAAAGACTTCCAGAGGTTAATGCATTCTCTTGTGTAAAAACTAAAATTTGCAAATGGCTTCTTACCTATCGGTTTATTTAACTAACCGGGTATTGAACTATGCTACATAAACTTTCCAAGAGACAGTTATTTTGTAGGCTGTTGAGAAGCATCCTTTTGCTCTTGTTTTGAACCAGCCATAGCTGCAGTTGCTGCTGCTGTCATGGCTGCTGCAGCCGCACCAACCTTTACGCCACCTGCTGCCTTCATTACACCTGCTACTTTAGCAAATGCCGCTATGCCTCCAACAAGAATTGCTCTTAATGCAACTGTGGGTTTCACTGCCATAACTAGTATGATTAGTAAGAAGGGGACAACCTGCACATAATAAGTTGATACAAAATAAGTTCATAAATCACAACACATGCACAAAATGATCATGGCATGCTACAACACCGCGGTTTCCATTTAACAATCAAAATGCATGCAAAAATTCATGATTTACTATTTAACCCTTGAAAACAAAAGCACTTCATCATGCTCATTGCATCTTGGCAGTGTAGTAGAGATGATTCTATTGTGCAATTGTGTGTTTGGTGTTACAAACAGCCACAAAACAATTTTTGGTAGAAATATGATATGCATAAATAGTGAAGAAAGAAAAGGAAATAGATATGCATCAAGATATATATGGAGCCCAGAAAAGAAATTTATCAAACTTCACTTTCTCAAAAAATCCATTCTTGTCTACCATTTTAAGTTTGCTTCGATTAAGCTTTGTGTAAAGATTGGAAAAATGGAATGACCAAAAAATTAAACCCTCAAAAAAGATTAATCCTTTTCAGCCGTTGATGCAATTACTAAAACATATTCCAACCACTCTGATATATAGTTTCACTGAAATTTGGTTTTTTCGATAGACATCCATGCATCAGTTGAGATCCTATCTAGTGAAACAAGACCTACTGTTGTTTTATTCTATTCGTTTTAATCAGAGTTCAACTACTAGATTAGCAATATATCATGTATGTCATACTAATAGATAAGCCTCTAAATAATGATCAAAATCTGGGTTTGAAATCTGAATTGAGATTACTAACGCCAATTTTCTCTGTTCCCGAGACTTTATCTTTTGTAGTAGACAGTACTAGCTGAACCTTAAGGAATAAATATGATTCTTTTCCATTCAAATCCTTACAAACACCAAAACCTAGTAGATCCTCCATTATCTCTATCAAAATTTTGAGAAATATGTAATTAACCAGCCCTATACGGTAAGAAATGCCTGTTGAAGAAGACCCAAAAGCTACCTGTTCATGTAAAATATCGCCTTCTAAGAAATATAAGTCAGGAAAGGGGAAAATGGCAATATTGAGAGATAATTTTAACTCTCCTCATAACTAATGTGATTTCACTTTCCTTGGAGCTGAGTTCACTTTAGAACTTCGTTAATAAGTTTTAAATGACAACAAATGCTGCCAAACTCTAGCAATTTGGTGTTTTTGAAGGAATATTATAATAAGTTTCTCATAAAAATTATCGTAAAAATCAACTTTGACCTTGGTGGATTCTTAAGTTTTATCTCTCGTTCTTATACTAAAGGATCCCATACTATAATCAACATCATCAACACAAGAAATATTGTTTTCAACAAGTCCAATATTTCCCATCAATCATCATCACAGAAACATACTCGCTTTCTTTCTTGTGTCCTATTTCTTCGCTAAGTAATAATAACGGCAATCAATCAAACTCAATACATATCTCATTCTCATTATAATAGAATTTTAGAAATCCACATCCCATAAGGTTTGCATAGTTGCATTGCATCATAAGCAAACCAAACTTAGAGAAAATTATAAAGGGCTAAAAAGCTACAAAGCACAGACATCCAACACACGACACCAACGCGTCAACACCAATAATAGTTTAAATAATTAATTAAATGTAATCACAAGGGTCGGTGTCGTGTAACACGAGCTCCGAGACACTTTCTACGGAGGTGTTGGTGCTATAGAGTTAAAAAGCATTACATTGTATTACAACCCCTTTTTCTCAAACTCATAAGTTGAACCATAAGTAAGTAGTTAATTAATAATCCTTTTTTGATTAAAAAATATTCATTTCCACTAAATATCATATTAATTAACCTCTAATATCATAAATTCATAATCAAATCCACTAAATAAACCCTAACTAAAACATTATTTTGCCCCCAATTCATAATTTAATCAAATTCGTCAGAATAAATTGGAAATGAAATAAATTAACATACAATTTCGATGGCATGTGGAGTATATATTATGCAGCAAGTTAAAGATCGAGAGAAAATGGATGAAATTGAATAAAGATCAAACCTGAATTGAAAATGGAGGTTGATACGATACCTGAAATTGAAACCCTTTAGAAAATGATACGTGGAGAGTGAAATTGAATAGACGCAATGAATCTAAACCCCCCTGTTTCCTTATACCTCGGACCTAGAAATAAGGACGTGATGTGTGCCTAAAACGACAACGTCGTTTCTTTCAATGAGGCAAACCTGTGTTTGGTTTGGACGAGTGTGTTTGGTTGTAATGAGAAAGTGAGGAGAAAGAAAGAATGAGAAGAGAGTAATATATATAAGAATTAAACTCTCATTTGTTTTCCTAAGTGTCTTTTAACTTTTAGTTTATAGTTTTTTAATTAATTTTTAGTTTTTTTTCAAAAGCTATTTAAAGTAGTTTTTGAACTTATAATTTTAGCTTATGACTTTTTATTTCAATTATATCTTTATTATTATATATATATATATATATATATATATATATATATATATATATATATATATATATATATATATATATATATATATATATATATTGGATTGACTCATTAGTTAGGCATGATTCAATTCACTTCTGCTCCTAAAGCGGTCTAATTGTCTAAGTCCAACCACTTTAGGGGAGAATTTACCTTTCTGCCCCTCCAAAAGGGGAGGCTGACCAGTTTACCCTTAGTCACAACACTTCTCCTATTACTCTCTGTCCGTCACGTACGGTTCCACCATCCAAAAATAGCCAAGAAACATGTGCTCGTAATTACACCCCTACCCGTAAAAATGGCTAGTTATGGGCACGTCTGCCCGTTACAACGGCTAGTTCTAGCAGTTACCTATTCTTTAAAAAACAGTTATCTCGTCCTGAAAATAGGAACCAATGGCCAAGCGTTGGGGGTATTATAAAAACCCTCTCATTCGAGAGGGTCATGTATTCAATATTCATCCTGATATACTCATATTTTATAATTGCTCTCTCTTGCCCAATTCTTACTTTAGTATCGGAGTGCCTTGCAGGTACACCCCCTCCTCTTTTTTCACACCTAGCATCACAGACGATTGTCTTTGGCCCACCTCAGGTTCTGGCCAATCGGTAAGATCAGTGGCACTGTTTGTGGGAAACTTGTTATCCCTGTCTTTTCTCTTTCGGAGACATGAGACCAAATCAATTCTTCAAAATCCCGACCATGACCAGCTGTGACAACACTCTTGATGCTCGCAACTATACTTTCCTCCCCGTCAGCAAGACTGACGCTGATAGAGCCACCACATCTCGTGGGGGATGTCCTCCGACAAAGGGACGAAGCCATAACTTCTCCATCCTTTATTCCCGCAGATCACAGCGAACTCCCGCTTGTCCGCAGCACTTGCCAGTCCCAGTTCTGCCCAGCGCCGACCCAACCATGATTTCCCTCCTTGAGGTTCTCAACAAGACTAACCTCATAATCCTCAACTAGAACGCGAGGATTGGAGCATTAGAATAGTCCAGTCGTCTAAGATCCCCGCCGCCGAGGAAGGAGCGTCAAAGACCACGAAGTCCCTTTCCCCGACGCGAGAGAAACCGTCAAACACCTCCGGAGCCAGAGACCCTGACCATCCGCAAGCGCAACCACATCTCTCCTCGGAACCAGCATTCCCTACAACTCAAGAGGACCAGAATAGGCCACCAAGAAAAATCTCAACTTTCGCCTCCGCTCAGATCCAAGGGTCGAGTACGAACCCCGTCTCCCCGACGAGACCGCCATCCTACATACAGACGGTACGTTCGCTCCCCATCTTGGACCAGCAGCAGCAGTGACAACGAGCCTCGCAGTCCATTGTCCCAAGAGATTATGGACATGCACCTGCCAAAGGGACTAGAAACCCCCCCTCCCCCTCTCTAGGCACATACGACAGTACGACAGACCCCGACGAGCACATCGAAAACATCGATGCGCTGCTCGATTACTGCGGCGTCTGGAGCACCATCAAATGCAGGTTATTCACGACCACACTCAAGAAAGGGGCGATGACCTAGTACAAAGGACTCCTTGACGATTCCATCACCTCATGGAAACAACTGAGGAGACTGTTCTCCAGACACTTCACGGCCTTTCGCCGTCATCCGATGACCGAAGCCTCCTTTGAGGCCATCATTCAAGGGAGGGATGAACCCCTGCGAGCCTACATCAAAAGGTTCAATAAGAAGTCCGTCCAGGTTTCTACAACCGATGACATGAAAAAGTTTCTGCTCGAGCGCGGGCTATGTCCCTGCATCGAATTTGCTAAAGCTGTGGGCATCCGTCCCCCAACAATGCTAGACGATTTCCTCCTCAAAGCACAAACGTATATTTAGTAAGAAGAGAAGGAGGTTTCCAACTCTGCCCATGATTCTAGACACAGGGAGAATGCCCGAACCTCCAGGTCCGATAAGCCCTCGACATCCCGTCAGGGAGATAAAAGATGAGAAAACCGTCCCTAAGAGCCCTAAGACAACAAGGGGCCCTCTGGTCGGTTCCACGAACACACCCCCCCTGATGGTTTCAAGGGAGAAGATTCTTTCTAAATGCGCCAACTCAGAATTCCGGTAGGCAGGAGTTCGGTTCCTAAAGCAAATATCGTCCAAACCCAACACTAATAAGTCGAAATATTGTTGGTTCTGCAAGAGGCACGACCATATGACTGACGACTACATCCACCTGAATTGTTGGTTCTGCAAGAGGCACGACCATATGACTGACGACTACATCCACCTGAAAGATGACATAGAGATACTCATTAGGGACGGGCATTTGAAGTAGTTCTCCAAACTAAAGGACGCTCCTCGGCCAGACACCCAGGAATCCCAGAAGGTCGAGGAAGAGGTACCTTCCTCCGAGGAAGCCAGCCTTCAGATCGCTATGAGCATCTCGCGGCCTGAAGATTTTTACATTCCCGATGGGCTCGGCGCCCCTCCATATTTCGCCACACATAGCCCGTGGAAGAATTTACCCTCCGCCATGGTCATCTCCAGAGGGGGCTTTGACAAAGTCACGGTAGGGTCCGTCAAAAG